ACAAGGTCTGCAAATTTTTCTGTAAGGATTGGTAAGAAATGTTTTAGGCTTTGCAGCTTCTACAGTCTTTGTCACGACTGTTCATTTCTGCTCTTGTAGCAAAGACAGCTTGCCTGTAGACAATATGTAAGAGAATAGGCTTCTCTATTTTCCAATAAAACTTTATAGACACAGAAATTTGAGTTTCATATAATTTTCATGTGTCATTAAATATCAATCATTAAAAAATGTTTTCTAACCATTTGAAAATGTAAACACTAATCAGCATAAAGGCCATACTAAAGCAGGTGTGGGTCAGATTTATCTGTAGTTTGCCAACAACTGATTATTATTGAGTATTCTTTTGTGTTTTCTTTTTACCTAAGTGTGTATGTAGCAGTCTGTACTTGTGCTTGACCTTTGATTTTGTTTGTTGAGAGATATCCATGTTTCAATAGATAGATAGATAAATAAATAGATAGATAGATAGGTCTGTACTTGTGCTTGACCTTTGATTTTATGTTTGTTGAGAGATATGCATGTTTTAATAGATAGATAGATAGATAGATAGATAGATAGATAGATAGATAGATAGATAGATAGATAGATAGATAGATAGGCAGGCAGACGGATAGATAGATAGATCGCTCAATCTAGCTCATTCTTTTTTACCCCTGTATGGTATGGTATCTCATTGAATAGCCACATACATTTTATTTATCTATTCCATTTACATATGAGCATTTAGGTTTTTTTTCAGTTTCCACTCCAACAAACATGTCCCCTGAACATCCTGATATCCATCCCCATCTGCATAAGTACAAGAGTTTCTTTCTGGCACCAGACTAGAAATGACATTATTGGGTCACGGAGAATTATCAAATCCATTTTGTCAGCCATGCCAACTGATCTGCAAAGTAGCTACAAGTTCTGTAGGAAAGTGACCATCAGCCCTTGTTACTTTAGGGCTTTTAAGTTTTTGCCAGTCCAGATGACTATGAAATGGTACCTCACTTCGTTCGATTTTCATTTGCATGTCCCGCAATTATTAGTAAAGTCGATCATCTTTATAGGTGCATGGACCATACACTTTTTCCTTCTGTGAATCACTCATTCATATCCTTTGCTCATCTTCTTGTTTGGTTATTTTATCGATTCGCAAGAATTCAGCGTATATTCTGAGTATTGATCCTTTTCCCGTATATCTGTTTGCAAATCTCTTCCAATTTTCACTCCTCTTTATCTTTGTTCACGGGGACTGTTGTCCATCTGGAATTTGTTTTTGTGTATGATGTGGCATGGATCGCTTATTTTCAGCATGACAGGCCAGCTGTCCCAACAGCACTTACGGAACAGCTCTTTTTTTTTTTTTCCCCTTGAAGGGTTGTAATTCCACCTCTGTAATAGTAACTCCTGACGCCGAAGGGGCCCGACGTAACCTGGCCCCTGCTCACCTCTCAAACCTTCCCCACTCCCATGCTCGTGAAGCCGCAGACACACTCACTTTCTCAAACATGCCCAGCTTTTTCTGTCTCCTCGTTGCATTTATTCTTCCTGCCGCCTGAAACACTCTTCCCACGGTTTACTGCACGGCCGCCTCCTCCTCGTCACTCAGGTTCCAGTTCAAGTGCCGCTTGCTCCCAGACAGACACCGTCCCCTAGCGGCCAGTTCACTGTCCCCTTCGTCATTATCTCCCTTTATCCTTTTCTTCGTAGCTCTTACCCTATCTGAGACGATCTCATTTCTTAGTCTGCACGCTTACTGACTGCCTCTGTCCTTCAGAATAGTCATAAATCCCATGGACAGAGATGCTCTCTGCTTCACCATTTCTGCATTTCCCATTTCTAGAATGGTGCCCGCACACGATAGGCAGGGCGTGTCTATGTAGCCATGGTTTTTTACATTTTGGCCTCATAGATTTCTGTATTGTTTGAGTTTTTACAGGGAACATTATTATATCTATGATCTGAAAAAAAAAGAAAACCTAAAGATAAAAGAAAAACAGTTGTCAGTCAACCCAAGAAATTGAGATGGGTGGTAACAATAAAATAGATTTGGCTTGTCTGCATTTCTGGGTTTCGAAGGCACCTCTCTCAAATTGGCGGTGTTGGTCTCTGGGCAGTTGTGGTTCATACGAATCCCAGTGTGTGGCAAGCCTACTAGCTTTCGGTTCCTTTTATCATAGGAATATTCATTTCAGAGCAGGAGTGAGGGAATATAAAATATGGCACACATATTTATATAGGCTATGAGCAGATTTTTCTAATCTTTTAGCATAGTGAAATGGGAGAAGTGATGATAGGTCACCGTGGGAGAGAGAAGAGAAAAGCTAACACCAACACAGGTGTGACCAAACATTTCGGCCAACGGACGATGTTTGAAAACTATTTATAAAGTCCTCGACCTC